ACGTATTGCAAGAATTTTGCGATTCAGAGAGACCAGGAAAGGGGAGCAGGTTATGAAAATATTGGATTTCCCGCAAATCAATATTAGCATTTGAATAATAAATCTACTCTTTTGAGGTCTTGTTCCCTGAAGAATTTGTACAGTAGTTTAAATGACAATGCTGAGTTTCATGTTGAATCCTAGCTGAATCGTTAAATCTGGCCAAGTAGGAAACAATTTTAGGGATTTCCATTAGATTGTGCGGATGCAGCAAGCAGGCCGTGCAAGCCGATCTAAAGCTAAAAGAAGCATCCGAGCTTTTAAGGTCTGCGATTCATTGTAATGCTCACGGTGGTGGTATTATTACCAAGCTTTTAATATCATTGTTTCCTCGACCCTGCGATATCCGTGCTTCCCTCGTTTCTGTCATAATTAAAATCTGCTTTGTACGGGCAATTTTGCGGAAATGTCCAACTGTATAATTCGTATCTGGTTCCTACATAAGAAAAATATGAGCACAGTTTCTGTTAAAAGCCGAAAATTATATGCAACAGATGAGGACGTTAACGCGACAGAAACGAATGATCGTCAAAAATTTGAACATTCTACAAGAAAAACAGTTAACAATCCTTCAACTTGCTCTTACTTGACGAGTAGCTTCTTTCATCCCCTTCGCTCCTTTCTTTCATTATCGTCGAACAAAGCTCCGTTTAAACGTTACTGGCAGCATCCGCGAGACGGCGCACCAAGAGGAAGCCACTTTGCGAGCAGATGAGAAAGCTAACACCGCTATTGCGAAACTTCCATGCCACCGTGTGCCAGTACTAATTAGGTGCTGTTCCTTTGATCACGCATCGAGCAATTCGCACGATTACTAGCTTTAAGGGCGCGCGGAACATTCCATCGCGATACGTGTTCACCACGTTTCGGAACAACGACCAGGTACACGTAAGAAGTAGTTCACTTAGGACTTGCCACAAATGACGTTTTAATTCCTACAACTTTTCGTAGAAATACAGATTATAAAGCATGTAAGTAACAAATGAAAATTGAAAATTTGTATTCTCCTGACATCGAATTATCTAATTACCGTTACGTCGAAGAAACAATATCGTTCCTTTGAGAAAGAAAAGAGAAAGGAAAAGTTTAATTTAGCATGGAACGTGGCTCGTAAAGAAAGTCCGTCCACCAGAGATAGCGCAGCGCAACGGAGGATGCTTAATCTTCATCGGAAATAGCAAAATCTTCGAGAACTGTTTTCATTCCAAACTTTCCGAGTTGAATGTCAGACACTTGCCAGATTTTACTCCCGAGCTGATTTCACGTTAATACAAGGTAGGTGCTCCGTGATCGTCTCTACCGTCGAATAATTCAGAATTGAAATGAATTTTTTCACAGGAGATCAAGGCAAAGATTGTAAATGATTTTAACAAGGAATCTGATCGTAAAACTGATGGGAAGATAAGAAACTTTCTCCACTTTGAAATTAAAATAGCGAAGGGTGGAAAATTCTAATTTGCAGAAAATTAGAAACACTACCATAGATATTCGTTTCGTTGATAATTCAATAACACGTATCTGGTTTTCAGGTGGAAGAGGATTTTCCTGTTCGCGAGAAGTAAGTTTCGATAAAGTACGAAGCAAGTGGTACGAGTCGTGCGAAGCTGCGCCGGAGTCTCGTCAGTGGAACAAGTCGATCTAATGTCCGACCATGAGGGAGCCTTGTACGTTCGCAGATGTTACACTTTGTCACTGTCGCTTAGGTACCAGATATTTACAACTTGTTAACGACCAACGATCCACCGCCATTCAACTGCTCGCTCCGTCATGGTCGAAGCTGTTTGAAACTGTGGTTACTCTTCGGAAAGGGTAAACAAGAAGGGATGAAAACAACGGGATCGGGCAAGTTTCAGAATACTAACAGAGAAACGGATGAATCATATTTTTCTTTCGAAGTTTACCTACCCTTAAATCAGATTCGTTAAAATAAAATAATCACAGCTTATTGCTGATAAGAGATTACGAGCCTAATAAAGTCAGAGATGGAGCGGCAGTAAAATTATTGCAACTTTGCCACGCGAAACAAGAGCGTGAAGAAAGGATTTACAGGCGTGCTTTACGTTTGCAAGGGATGAAATACGAGCACCTGCACGCACGCGACCACCCACGATGCCTGGCTAGTGAAATCGAGTTTAACGCGTTAATAAAGGTAAGAGAAGCCCGTTTATAGGGAGCTAAAAAAGCACCCTTACAGTCGCTAATGATTTCTGAGGGTGCCAATCGTAGCCCGAACGCTTCTTTTTCCTTAGGACATTTCTTTCTTCAGGCAGACGGTATTAAATGGCTTATAATTGCGTCGACAAATCCACGAACCAACTTCATTTCGTACGTTCTTTGATACAAAGAAACTCGTTAAAAGATAACCGGAGCGTTCTGGAATAAGGCTGAGCGAAGCCGATAAAAGCGGCGCGCCAAAGAAGGACAAGAAAATTAAAATAACAAAGGAAACAATTACGGGGACAGTTGGTGTAGTGGTGCACCGAAGACAACGGCATTGAAACAACTTTTAAGGAAACGAAGACAACCGAATACAGGAAATCGGCAGTGCTTCGATACCAATCAAAATTATCCTGAAGGGTAATTATACAAAATAAGATTCATCTTTTTAATTTTCATGAAAATTGCTTTTCTAATAAATAAGATTCGTCATAATCCGAAGATGAAGAGGAAAATTCATCTTTCCATGATGATCACGAAGAACCACCACATCGTTGCAATAATGGTGTGCAAAGGGGAGCACGGTTTCCTGTACAAGCATCGAGGAAGTGGCAATATTTGCAGACTGGCTCCGCAGCCGAAAGTTCGAAATCCACCTACCAGAAGATAGTACCCGGCTATATTTACCCTGTGGCAATCAATTTATTGATTTTCACGTGAATTACACCCACCCTCAGGGCTAAGCAGTCCTCTAATAATCAATTTCTTCGATCATAACCTAATGATCGTGTACAGAGTATCTTGTCACCGATAGTACAACTGAGACAAATAAAGATTCTTTACATTTTCGTTTTATTTCTTAATTTCGTCACAATAGCTTGGATAATACTGTGAGCACCTGAACGAGTGAAATTTTCCGTGATAAATACCTCAGGAGGTTTAATAATTTCTCCATTTTTTCCTAGCATTCAGCAAAGAAGGGGACTTAACACCGGGAACGTAATTCCGGCTTAGCGTAATACCTTTGTTCATATTTTTACCGTTAATACGGTCACGTAGCGGAAACAAGGAGAGCTCGACGTCATCTAGACGCCCTTCGTGCCGCTAATAAAGGTTAATGAAAACACTAATAAGGATAGCGACATTATTTTTCATTAACCCGACGTTCCGACGTACCTACGTACATTCTTATCGGCCCGTATTCATCTCTCGAGGAAACTTCCGGTCGTGGAAACAACGTTGTTGAAACAGCGATAATTGTTTTTTTCCGCGTGTATACGTGACAACCATCGGGAACTTCCGTTCGGAGAAAAAGAAATACGAGTCCGAAAGGCGATCTTAACGTAATTATTTCGTTCCAACAATTTCCCCGCGTGTTCCGTGACAGCCCGGAAAACAAATGCACCACCGTAATTGAAATGTAAATTTCAACTGGGTCATTGTATCGGGCATGAATTAATGGAAAACGAGCGTGTACCTTTTGCGAAACGTTACTTTGATAGCGGACCGTGTTTCACTTTTAATCCCTTTCTTGTGTAACCCCATACAAAAAATATATGGTGCGAAGAAAAAAATTGATCAACATTTATATTGAAAATTAGGATCACTTTCACTTTTTTAAATGGCAACGTGTGATTTTTAAATTAGGTTAAATTACATAGTTAAAGGCACGATTCATCCCCTCTTTAGAAGTACCAGTTAGTTTCCAGGGGATGATAAATGATGGCGAGTTTCTTGCTCGACACGGTCCGCCCTCTTTTCGCGTAACAGAAGAAAGGAGAAAATATGATTTTTCCTCTCGGTCGGTGTAAAAATTTCAAAGGGCCAAGCCGGTGTTAAACGATGAAGATTTTTCTGACGTATCGAGAGAAAAGTCGAATATCCAACTGGGAACGTCCTTTCCCACTCGCCAGCAATTTCAATCAATTGACCTCGTTGAAGATAAATTTCGTCCCAAGGTTCCAGCGACTTTGAACTTTTTTCACGTCCCGCAAGGATCTCGTGGTTAAACTTTGCCAGGTAAAATGATTCAATTGCTATTTCGTTCGGACGTTTCGAACTGGATGGGTAAAACTTTTCAATTTATCAAACGGCTCGCAGAGATAATGGGCCGTTAACGTTGACCTTATGTAAATTAATCACGAAGCTAAGTTCTCTTTGAAGGGAAAAATGATCTAGAGCGAGAAACGAAAGCACATTTCGTAGGTTTTTCATTCGGGAATTCACATTTAATTTTAATAATGATACCTTGTTTTGTAATACTTTGGTTAAACTTAACGAAATCAATAGAGTGAACTTGTAACTCGTCGAGACGAATGACCCTCCGAGCATAAGGGCGGCAATTAAGATGATCCTACGTGTACTAATTACCCCGTTCCGTGCACGCTCATATCACTTTCACGGGGAATAGAAAATAGAGCTTATAGCCAGTCGGGCTCCAAGTTGGGGAAGTAATCTCGCGTAATCAAAGCCTTGTTCGACGGCGTGGCTTAGCTCGAAATCGGTATCAACCAATCCCAGGTGTTCAATTGGCATCGCGCCAGGATTTAAGCTTGGCTTAAATTTCGAGCAACGGCCCGCGTAACTAGGCCAGATTCAGATTAGAATTAACTAATTGTTGCGTACAGCGTTGTAATTAGCCTTCTATTTCCCACGTACTAACGCTTAATTAAAATTGTACCACGATGAATCGTTGATGAAACGATACCAAGACGATGCCAAATAAATAGTTTCTCTTCTAGTAACGAGGGTGTGCTTGTACAATGATAGCTTGTGTACAAGAATCTAAAATTGAACAAACTCACCGATCACGTTCAGATGCACGATGTGACTCATATGCGGCGTCGTGGAGACCTGACACTCGTAGAAACCGCTGTCACGGAGCTGCGGATACTTGATTTGAAGCATCCAATCGTCCGTGTGAGCGTGGTGGATCGCCCTGAATCGTTGGTCGTTCGTGTACGTGTAATGACCGTTTGTGAGCAGGTGGACATCCCTGTGCCGCATCCAGGAAACCTGTAACGTCATCTGTGAAACAGAAAAATGTACCATTGACGGTTGAGCGAAAAGAAAATTTCAAAAATTGAAAGAATCTTTAAAAGATGCTCTCTTCTCTAGAGAAAATGGCAATGTTAGGGAAATGCCATTTTCCCTTGGGAAACCTGCTTATTTTAAAATATCTGCGCACGCCTGATCGGTTCAGAAATAACGTGAAAAGATTTTGACAGTTTTGCGGTCTGGAAATTGCGTACAGGCTGCGAAATTCGCGGGTCGAATCTTTTGTCCCTCGTTAAGGGTTCCCCATTAAGCGAGACCGCGTAATTAGAAGTAGCTCGTTCGTGTGTTGCGCCAGTAATTAGTGAAACGCCGGCTACGACATTTAGCAGGGGAATTCGCGATCCCCTCGACCGAGGTTTCGAGTTACGCGCCTTTTTCTCGTCTCTTTTAGTTAGCTCGAGGGTCGTGCATGTTTTTTCGACGGTTCGAAACGCAATTCGGTTTTTACCGACGATATCAAGCGATATCAAGCAGCCAAGAGGTAAAATTTTCGAGGATTAAAATTGACAGTACTCGTTCGGGCTGTTAATTATTAAAGTTCGAATAATCATCGCCAAAGCAACTTTATGAAATATTTTTCGATGAAAATCCTCGACGAAATTTATTGAAATAATGGATTATTATAATTTCATGGAGGTAGAATATTTTCGATGCAGAATTAATCATACATATGAAATTGGATACACCAATACTTTTTTACTTCATTGTATATCTGACATAAAACTTGTTTATAATACTTCGTCGTTATTAAATCAGTGAAATATAATACTTTTATATATAAATGAATGTCAGATTGATACTTGAAACGAGCAGAATTGAATGAGGAAAATTATGAAAGAAAACACGACAGTATCGGTGTGGTTAAATATACAATAATTCAATAAAAATTAATTAGAAATGACGCAAGGAAGTCCAATTAAAATTAAATTCTCGATTTAAGTATCCAGAATAATTTCAGCGTAATATCATTGAGCTTATATTGTGGCAAAACGAGCAATGAATTTACGAGGAGAAAATGGAATTCAATACATTTTTTTCATTCTTTTTTTATACATTCTCCGCATTGTTGATCGTAAATCAAACGAATATGTGCGCGCGAAAAGAAAGAAACGAGCGAACAATAGCCTTTGAAAATTGACGTATAGAGCACGAGGAAATATGAAATTCCATAAATTTCAAATATTCATTGAAAGTTTATTACCATCGGGCTCAAAAATGCAAGTGAACAGTTAATATAAACATTTTATCTGTTCAATGAATTTTCCATCTATCGAGGTGTCACAAAATTGCAATGAAAACAGATCAATGAGATAGAAAAAAAATTCAATAAAAGCGAAACGAAGTGTGTTAATCAGAAATAAACGAGGGGATATAGAGAGAGAGTGGTTGGAAAATATCCAAGTTAAAATACAAACTAATGTTTACATAGTTCCCTTTTTCCCATTTAAACATCGACAAAAACAATCGTTACCAATTTATTTTGCAATGCAACAATCCATTGCAATTTCGCTAACTGCTCGCTTGAAACAATAAACACAACCAAAATCTACCATTCTATCTCGTTGACAAAAGATTTTTATTTGCTTGATAACGCGGTTAAAAAACATACTGGGCCAAAACAATGAAACTCTGTTCATAATAACAACCAGCATCCTGAATAAATTAAATACGATGATTTTCGATTCTTCGTTAACAACGCTATTCGAAGATAAGTCGTTTATCATCAAACACTTAAGGGAAGATATTAAATTATAATTACTGTTCTAATACATTTTAGGACTCACGGAAAATGAAATAGTCAAATAGCGAGCGGAGGTCGTTTACACGTATCAGCTAACAGCGATCGTTCTACTAGATTCGGATCGTTGTTGGCGATCCTTATCGTATTTTCTCCGAAATTTTCGGAGAATCGGGGTGAGTGCGAGCTGTCGTTGCCGAAATTCGAGTCGCGTCGTTTCTGGAAGACGTTTGGCTCGTTCGCCAAACAGTCGCACGATATTTGAGAAGATAAGGTTACTAGGGGATGGTCAACGGATAACAGGCTGAACGAGGAGCATCCCCTTGAAGAAAGCTATCAGTGGAAGTCTTCAACTATTGCTGTCAACGATTTATTGTTTAGTGACACCCATTTAATTTTAATAATATTAATTCACCGACTGTTCTATGCCACGCGTATATATCACATCAATATGTTACAAAAAAAGAGCGGATATACGATTCTAAAAGGAAGGTCTGAAAAATCGTGTCACTTAGCTCTCAAGGATATCTCCATTTAAACGAAACGGTTCGTTTCGAGAAATTCCTTCAGGAAATCCCTCCAATATCCTGTAGGCACGCATAATCTACACGTCTTCCTTCCAGCGCGAATTAAATTTCTTTCCAATTTCAAAAGAACGGCACCATGCGCTTCCGTTTCTTTTACAGCATCCGAACGAATTCCAGATACATTGCTATGCGTTAATGGTGTCCCGGAAGGATATCACAAGTCGCAGACAATTTTCTCCTTTCACTGTAACCGCTTCTCTTATTCCGCTCTATTCTTTTTCACGTTCCTCTATTCTCTTTATATACACGGTGTTCCCGTTCGCTCTCTCACGCTATTCACTACCTGTCTCTTCAGCTTTGTCTCACCTTCTGTAGTATTCTCTCTGCGCCAGTTTTCACTTTTCACCTTCTTCTCTGCTGGCTTTTCACACTTAACCTTTTCTCCCGAGCGTTTCTTTCACCCATTGTTTCCATAATTCCTTACTCTCGCTTTGTTTTTCTCTCGCTCGCTAAGCGCATCAAGGAAAACCATCTTGACACCAAAGGAATCCCTTCCTAGTGATACTATTTCCGATACGCACCATTAGAATTTAAATTGAATTTCAACATTTAAAATACACGTTAGGAATTGGAATTTTGACAAATTTTTTTTGTATCGTCCCTTCGTATACCCCCTCTATTCGTGTCTCCTTTGTCATCGCATAACGCGTTTCCGTACAAGCGTCTCTTCACACGATCCACAGTGTGTGGACATGTATAACCCGTATAATTTATGATACCAGACCAACGTAAACCTCCATGGTTGACCCTGTATAGGGTTCCAGTGTCTGCCTTGTATCCGCTGGTATCACTGACACCCCATGGTTTGCGATGCCTCTCTACACCCTCTACACTTGCCCTTTGCATACCAATATTGTTGTCCTATGCAAACGATTCGCGTTCACGAGCCCATAGGCGCCGTCGTCCACTTTACGAGCGATGAAAATCAGCCGCACCAGATATCTGGCTTACAAATTTTTCGATATCCACCGTTGCCCGCAAGTCCGAATTCGCGTTTCTTCATTGGTCATCGCGAAAAAGAGGATGAAGAGAACTAGGCGTTTAAGAAATTCGCGCAGATCGAAGCGAAATGGAAAGGACCCCCTTCAATTTATTCGTTTTAATGCCGCTTTCTCTGATTGCACGAGCCGGAAAAACTTGACGAATCGAACTGAGATTCGGAACGACTTTGAGAATTTAGGTGGCGGCGAAATTGCGCGATCGATTTTCAATGGAAAATTCCCCGCTACGAACACGTTTCAACGAAAAATTATTCCCTTTCACGTTCTTGAAGCCAAAATATCGATGCATAGAATAATAACGATTGAATAGACACAAGCAAACTCGTTGCGCGTGTAGTAACAATTCAAACAACTTGAAACGAATTTTCAACTCCATTAGTGTGTACAAAAGGTTACACACAATGGTAGCAATAAAGTTAGAGTTTTTCGAATACGCTTGTTCTACCTTTCTATGAAAATACAGCTGTGTTACGGTGCTATGTCGACGACAATGCACATACAGCAGCGTGTTGTCCCGTTCGATAAGCCCCTCGCAAGGATTACAAGGTTCGTAAACACTTTGTACGATGGCTCTTCTTTTTTCGTTGTATACTATTCATTCTTTTTTTTATAACTAGTGATTCAAATCCTCGACATTTCTAAAACTTTCAGCGGTACACTGGTATCTAGCGTGGAGACAGAGAATTCTAAGTCCCATCTTGTCGACCTTCCGGATAGATTCTTGGTATCCATAGGGGAGCGTAGCACATGTGAGGAGCAGGTTGACAAGTGGAAAATTGTACAAGTCTATATTCTGCCATGATAAATCATTTGTAATCGCAAGTATATTCAGGATGTCGAGACTTCGCGTGTAAAACGATATCATGTATTTTCCAAGATGGACGACGTTAGGTAACCCAAAAGGACGTTCCGTGTATTTCTAAGCAAGAGATCCTCTCTTAAAGGTACTTCCACTGCTGAACATTCAGCTACAGCGTTTCTTCGAGCACAAGCCGGTATTTTGAAAAGCGAAGCTCAGCAAAGACGGTCGTTGTGGAAGTTGCAGCTACTACAAACCCTGAAGTCGTGATGCGGTTCCCATGACCAGCAGTGTTTGCAGGACACTTGGCTGTTGCCTTTTGAGGTCGTCTAGTACGAAAACTCGACGTTTGCTAAAGCTGTCGCGTTCAGTTGACTTCAATAATAGGATTTGGTCAAGGAATGGTCAGGAAAAATATTCCCAAGTCCAAGATAACGTCGCTTAATGTCGAGAATGCATTCTTTCGCAAATAAATTACAAGACGTATTTCTTCTCCGTGAACGTACAAACGTACCGATTAGGGAAACAAAGTTACGTTAATTTTGTTGCAACTCACGGGTGGAATAAACGCGCAAACAATAGTTGTCAACGAAATTCGGACGCGTCCACCGCAAAACGTGATAAATCCGTCTGTACAATTTCCACTTGAAAGCTGTGGAAAACGGAAAGAAAGAGAGAACGAGAATCGAAGAAACAAAGCGTACGAATACGACGGACGGTAATATGGAAATTATTCAAAGCTGGATAATTAATGGCTTGCCATATTTTCGCTTATTAATTTCCACGATGAAATATTTGCGCGTTGCGTTGAAACGCGCGAGAATAAACAGAAAAATCGTAAAAGG